CTAGGTGCGTTCCAATGAGTCTTCCTACCAATATGACCATGTTGCGAAAACAAGGTCAAACAACCTATATTCATTTATTGTCTATATCTTTTGATACTTTAATGAAGAACCTTTTATGAGGGCATAATTGGGCAATTTCCTGACCCCAATGATAGTCCCAATTGCATGTTGCTACAATCAGGTTCTATTCGGCGTTCTGTATTTCTTGTTAGCTGACTCTCCACAGTGCATCAAATGGCGTCTTGGAACTGGACAGGAACGGACATTTTGCGCTTCGTGGATTGTCATCCGACAGCCCTCGACCCATCGCGCCTGGAGTCACCATTTCTCCCGGTATCAAGACCTCTACTAAGACGAGTTCCCTTGGCATTGTGGCCAACCGCTTGCCCATCGAAGGGAGGGTGGCCAACAATCGGATCAGTGCTGTTCAAGGCGACTACGCCAACGCCGCTCCATCGGGGCTGGAGTCAATTGATTTTCAAGAGTCCCCTAATCTGACTTGCACCGTGTTCCCCGACACTGCTGGTGATGCTGGAGACTCGGCCTTCGGTACCTTTGGAAGTAGTGAGGATGTCCTCGACGATGACCTGATCGATCAGCCAAGAGGTCATCCTTCATCGCTGCTCTCCAGCGACTTTGAGGCTAAACAAACATGTGTGCGTAGGACCATTGAGAAAGTAGGACTGTTTATCGGCCAGTCTAGGAAAAGGGATAAGGCATTTGTAGGATCGAAGTTTGCAGATCAGAGAGACATTTGTACGAATGATGAAGTCAATGCAGCACTTCAAGTTGAGGAGAGACTAATTGAAAACGCACAACGAAGACCAGCCCATGCGCGCAAGTCCAGAGGTGGGTAGACCTCTTGTTTTAAAACTGCCCTTCTCTCCGAGCTTTTGTATATCCTGATCATGTTTAAAAGGGCAGAAATTTCTTCAAGCCACTAAAAGTGATGTATCACTAATATTTAAATTTTATGTAATAAATTTAATAAAAGGCCTCACAATGCCATTGCATTTCAATTAGGCCTCAATAAGAACTTAACCACAATAGATTGATTAAGGTGATTCAAGTAGTGATAATTGAGTTTTTCCACAATCAAATGAGTGAACCTCAAGATGCCATTGCATTTCACCCAGACTTTCCTCCCAAAAGGCTACCTCATTCCGACTGGAGTGCAATTGAAATAGTACTCCTAATTGGATTCGATACGGGGTCGTGAAAATCGTGGCAACGTTGCCACTCGATCCCGCGG